TTCCTGGGTCTCCATGCAAGTACCCATGGACCTATCTGTGTCAGCGGGCTAGTCACCATGATAGCCAAGGCATTATCTGTGAGATAATCATTATCACGCCTTATGCCATATGGCAGATACCATACCATGGACATACCATTCTGTTTTAACATTACTCTCATAGGTAACCTAGACCCACCTCACTTTCAGCTTCTAGTGCAAAATGATCTTGTCTACTACTGTACCTTGCCTAGCCCAGAGAACACGAGCGTCCATAACAAGAAAAACTGGTTGTATAACCTCGAGAAGACAGATGAGCATGACCCTGAGAGAGAGGAGAGCGACCCTTCCATGCCTCCTGGTTACCATGAGTATACTCCACTAGACGACCCTACAACTTCCCCTGTTACCGAAGCTATCGACGTTCCAATGGTAGATCATGCACATACTATCGAGACACTGCATTCTGATGTTACTGCGCTTCGAGGAGAGCTCACCGCTGTTAGAGACGATATCGGCACACTTCGCCATGATTTCTTTTATTTCATGGATGTCGTCACTGAGCAGTTCGACCATATCTATCAGCTCCACCTCCAGGAGGCCCACGTGATCGCTAGTTTTGTTCTTGTGCCTCCCCAGTGAGGACCCTGTTTGTTCTCAGTATGAGGGGGGTTACATTATTATTTTGATGCTCATATTTTTCGTATATTTTGTTACAATCGGTTCTAAATTTTTCGGATATTTATTTCATTCAATAGTATTTATTTATTTACTTCATTTTGCATTTCATATTCCTATTTTTCGTTTTTGGTTAATTTCTATATTTTTCGTTTTTGGTTAATTTCTATTTTTAGTTCATTTTTAATTCTATTCGATTATCATTCCTCCGATTCTACTCGAAGCATCATATTGATACACTTACACTAATTCCACGAAATATTGATTACAATACTAACACTCGATTGTATGCACTAAATATTATCGAATAGACGTATTATCTATATTTTCAATGTATCAATAATAATTCCTATCATATACCCTACAAATTGTGTGCCACTAACTATTCATATAAATATATAAACCATGTAACAATATTTAAACTATATGAATAAATAAAAAATGCTTTAATTTGCACGTCCAATAAGATAACATGCACGCGGTCAGACATCCACAACACGCGCCTTTGACCCTGACGAACGTCAGGAAGCATGGCCCTTTGACCCTGACGAACGTCAAGAAACGCGTGAAGACTGTCAGTTATAACCTCCCATATTCAAAATTTCTCATAAACCCCATTCATTTCCCACTCATAAAATCCATCTATTTAAACCCTTCTTCCATTCTTTAGTTTTCACCACTACCACCAACCTTCCTTCCATTCCTTCATCACCATTAAATTTTTTTCTTTGTCAAAAACACAATCATGGCCACCCGAAGGAATCCACCCCGCGGAAGAAACCCACAAAACCAAGAAGAACCCGACATGAGCCATCTCGTGTTCCGGCAAGGGGAAATAGGCGAACTTCAAAGAGAACGATACATAAAATTTTATCATCTAGGTTTGACATCCACAAGATTTATCGATAACAGCTGCTTGCAAGAATTGGGGTTACGAAACAATATGCAAGGCTTGCTCGACAAAGCAGGCTCGAGCTTTATAAGTACGTTGAACACACCAACCTACGAGGCTCTGAAGTTGGAATTCTTGAGTTCCTACACCTACCACACTCGCGACGATGCTGATGAACACCTAATTGGAGCCACTCAATTTTGGATGTTCAACCGAGAAATCACGCTTAGCCATGAAAATTTGAGCGAAATGTTTTGTTTTCCCCGTGGAAATGAAGTGCAATATCGTATTCCCCCGGAGATAGATTGGAATGGAAGTGCATACGCACTATGGGAAAGAATAACCAGTGAGCCCAATGTTATTCCTGAAGCACGCTACGCCTCTCACATTCACAACCCAAATATTCGCTTCTTACACCGCATTATGGCCAACACAATTTTTGGAAGGGCAAACAACAACAAAGTCAACACTAAGGAGTTGTATGCTCTTCACTGTGCCTTTTCACAAGATCTCCGTCTTAATCCCGTTACATTAATGATGGCCCATATTCAAAACCTTGTCACGAGAGATGGGACTACGCCTTTTTGTATTGGAGGCATTGTCACCACTATCGCAGTTCACCTGAACTGGAGGGAAAGGATTCGACTTCTACCTACGCTGCCAGCAGTTTATATGGACATTGATAACTGCAGAGCTGGCCGCCTGATCAAGGTAAGAGAAGCTGGAGGTTACTATCTCATGGTGAAGAATGCAGAAGCTTGTAGCGCCATCTTGCCAAATCATTGTCGTACAAATTTGGGCAATCCTGATAATTGGCTTTACAACCTGAATGCACCCGAACCTGGAGTAAATGAGCAAGGAAATCAAGGTGAGGCCAACAATGCTGCTGTTGATGAAATTGAAGAAGAATTAGAGCAGCAAGAGCCCCAACCACAGCATGCTAACAATCCTGCCACCATTGATGCAATTTATGCTGCAATAATGCAGCAGAACCAACTGTCCACTCAACGCTACCAAATCCTCGAGACGCGCCAAATTGAGATGTTGAATCTCATGCAACAAATGCAGAGAGACCAAAGCGACTATGCTCACAGGCACGATCAAAGTATGCTAGAATTCATCGTAGGAATGATGAAAGATATGCGAGCTTTAACACTTCGTGTCGAAGACTTGCATAACGTTATTTCTCATGGTAATGGAGTCGAATCTTCCAGAAGTGGTGAGCAAGCACGTAGAAGAGCAAGGACACGTGGAAGATTTCGAAGGCAAGAGGAGGAAGAATAATTGTCTAGTTTCCACTTCCCTTTTCCATCTTCTGTCAATACATTAAGGACAATGTATGATTCAAGTATGGGGGAGGAATTATTTCCCTTTCCTAGTAATTTTTATTTTCTTTGTAATTTCCCTTCTGTCATTTCTAATTCAATACAATTTTTGTTATCAAGTTATCTATTGAAGCATTTGTGTTGTTTTTCCGATTCCCCTATCTTTTTGAGCCCTATCAAATTTTTTTTTAGAGTTTTATGCATAACTTGACTCACTTGACGAGTACATAGGCTGCAAGATCTTTAATAGTTAGGAATTTTGGCAAGATTAAGCTAAATTACTACCGTCTAGACATTATACAACCCCATAGTATGATAGACTAGTTCAAGTACCTGTTATTCCAAAACCCTGAGTTTTAGTTTTTGTAGTAACCCTGAGTAGTTTATATTAGCAGTCAGCACCGTCTTAAACATAAACTACACAAGAAGTCGGTGAATATAAGTGGATGATCTAATTTATTATTTCATAAAAATGTTACAAGCTTTAAGAAGATAGGTAATACACCAATTAAATTGGGCGATCCTTACCCAATCATTTAATCCAAAGGATGTAAGCCTTACAAAGTAACATTAAAAATCCTTTGTTAGATGGTTCAGGAGCGTCTGGTACTGAACTTGGTAGGGAAGATTACGGTCTGATCCCCCGCATCATGCAATTGGATAGAAAAAGTTGCCACATTATTGTGCCAGAAACCTAAGTGCTAAAAAAGGGATCATAACCACTAACCTGTTGTTCTTCTATGTGCGTGCAAGGATAAAGGGCTTAATGTGATTGCGCTATAATGAAAGGGACGAAATGAGACAAATACTCGAGGTAGGCTATGATAGCATCTGTAACTAGTTTACGTAAAAAGGGAATATCTAGTGTCATTACCGTAGTAATGGAGCATGAATCAAGCTTTCAATTTTCTGACAAAAACACAACGCAGCCGTATATGAGTTGATTCGAGTCATGTATGTGCATCTAACCATGTTTATAAAAACATCGTACTGTGCATTTGCTTGAGGACAAGCAAAGTTCAAGTATGGGGGAGTTTGATAACATATAAATATATGATATATTTAGCTTGATTTACATAAATTATTTCCCTTATTTTATTTTAATTGTATTATTTTATATAGGTATTACGCGGGTACACTACAAGAAAATTGGCAGATTGCGACAGGTATTTTTGTAGATTACGACGGTTAAAACCGTCGCAATTTGCTTTCCACGACGGTTGCTTTACCGTCGCAGAAGTGTGTGTCCCCAACCTATTTCGCGACGGTTACAAAAACTGTCGTTCTAGTTTACGACGGGTTGATACCGTCGTGACTATCTTTTGAGTTTCTTTTAATTATTGATGGCGACGGTTCGATACTGTCGTGAATATCTTTTGAAATTGATTAAATTGTTTATGGCGACGGTTCGATACCGTCATGACTTTTGTTGATTATTTTTAATTGTTGATTACGACGGTTCGGTACTGTCGCCATGACTTTTGTTTATGTCTTGATTTTTTTTTATTTTTCTATTATATATATTTTTTATTTAAATTATTATCTATGTAAAAAATTTTAAATATAGTTTTTTTTTTTGTGTTATTTTTTTCTTTAAATTATTTCTTCTTTAATATATTTATTTATAGTATTATTTTTTGTTTTATTTTCTATCACTTTGTAATATAGTAAAAATAATTTCAATAAAAAATATTTAACATCAAATAAGCATTATAATATCCAAAAAAATGTGTGTTCCATAATCATGTAAAATGCAAGTTCCATAATCATGTCAAGTAGTACAAAAAACCCATAATATATCAATTCCTAATCTTATAATAATAAGTATCATTATGCCAAAAATACATGAGAAAGTTCACAATCTAATTATCTCGATCATAGCAAAGTCTAATTTGTCCCCCCTAAAGTTCCATTATCTCCAATACGGTAGCTAGACTCAGATGAACGTCTACCATCAGCGGGTGATTCCAATCCCTAAAAAAAGGTATTAAAATAATAATCTTTAAAATAATACTCATAAAATTTAACTTTAAATGCGTCAAAATAATATACCTGTCTTCCACTAAAATTCTGCATTTGCATTAAGAGTTCAATTTCCTTTGTCCTTGCCTTGTCCCTTTTAGGGTTTAGGGTTTAGGGTCGTCGGGATTTGGATCCGTCAGCAACGAGCAAATTGACAAAAGGACCTAAAATAGTGAATGTTAGGTTTATTTTTTGTGAGATTTAGATCAACAGCAGACAACATCATCATTCCAAACGAAGCTCATTAAAAAAGGAGAAAAATAACACATTCAATTTCCAGCAGTAAATTTCTATGAATCGTATAATCAGCTTATATGAAGATGACAAACTATATCTCTAGTCAACAGAATGAATAGATATTTATATTAGCCACTTCTGCACTTGAAATATTAGTGACCTAATTTTTCTCTTACGAAAAAAATCTTCTAAAAAGAATTACAATTCTTGTGTTTTAAAAATATCATTTTTTTTGTTCTAGATTTTCAAATTTCCCAAAAAAAATTTAAAACCAGCACAACTAGTATGAAACACATAAAAACATCAATGAGATTACAGCAGTAAGTAACAATAGAAATGATAAGAGTACAAAAAGTCATGGATAGACAAATTTTATATGTGAAAATAAGCCTCATTCCTTGATAAAACTGTATGCTTCAATTGAATTTCCAAACAATTAGCAAAGTTTGTGATTCTAAATTTCAGTAGGCGAACACATTTAATAGTCAGAATTTGTATTTGTCCAATATTGGCAAATGCAAGTAAATTAGCTCAAAACGTGACAACACATTTGTCCAATATTTTTCACATTTGCAAATCATTCTAAAAGGCAACACAACACAATCCAGGTGTCACATTTAGCTAAAACTTGATACATAATCATCAATTATCAAGAATAACAAGTAAAATCAAACCTTAGAAATGGTCAATGCTGGGCTCCATTGTTCTTTTAGAATGTCAAGACAGATGCTTCCATTGCTGTTGATGTTTGGGTGGAATACCTTAGTCCTAAATGCAACCTGCAGTATTAAAATAACTTTAGCATGTTTAGACTATTTAACTAAATACATGATACAAGATATTTACAAAATTGATTAACAGGCAATAAAACAACATTTATAACTCGTGAATAAATTAAACTGGATAACTAACTGTCAACTGTTGAGGAAAGAAGAAAATGAAAGAGAACAATACGATTTGATGAGGAAAGAAGAAAATGAAAGGCAAAATATAATTGAAATGAAAAGTCATCTAACAGCTTCTCTGTTAGTTTTTCCAACGCCAATAGAAGTTTGTGAATTAGTGACAAATAATCAGATTTATAACCAACCAGAACTAATAACCATGTGATGTTTTCTACCTTCCAATACAGCAAAAGCTAGTAAATATCCACATGCTACAACAAAAGACAAATATAAAAGCGTGTTCGAGGGCAAGAGGCACAAGCAGCACAAGCCCAAAATGTGAAGGTGCAAACTTATTTTGAATTGCGGAGTCTAATCGATATTCTTAGGGGAGCAAATATGCAATATATCTATTCATATTTAATGTGCAATACAAGCTTGGCTTCCTTTAACCCGGCGTTTGCATTTATTCAAAAATAACACACTCACTAGAAACAACAACAAAAATGGTCATGGTCGGATTAACAAATCGTACAAAAAAGAAACAATCATGCTACAGAGTACATATAGACAAGATCTGCCTTGAAGCATTTGAAAAACAAACAAACGAACAAATCACAATAAATTATAAACATCATATAAACAGACAAAACAAACAAGCAACTAACGTAGAAACAAGTAACGGTTCAATTACCTTTGGTGGCTTGAATGGATAATCCGGCAATGGTGTGAATGAAGGAAAGGCCACATGGTATACTGTAAAATAAGATCATGTGAACATTGTCTTTATTGGTTTTATTACTTAGTTTCCTCTGCCTTTACACTAGTGTTCTGTCTGTTTTAATCATATGCATTGTGTTGTTTACGTTCCTGTGTGATTCTGCTACTAAATATTGATAAGTTTTAAGACAAGAACTTTGTTTAATATTGCAATATTGATACTTCTCATTGAGTATACATAGATCTACTATCAACTATGTCAAAACCTCGGATGCACTGTGTTGTTCATGTTTCTATTTGGTCTTGCTACTGATTTTTTTTATTATGCTTAATGTCAATTTATTATGCAAGTAAAAAATGCAGGAGGAAATATATGAGATGCGTGATTAAGTTAATGGTTGTATGAATGCATTGAGATAACCTGCGCATGAGAAAATAACAATTCTCAAGTAGAGTTTGGTGATAGTATGAATGCATGTTAAACGGGGTAAGAAAAAATACAGAAACGATACTGCAGTGCCAATTAAGACATGTTGAACTATTGATGATACATACATATCTTTTAATGTACATAGACTAAAATAAATTTAAGATCATACTGCAACTTTTTGTGTTATTTTTATGACCCATACTAGTTAATAACATATAAGGATACGTTTCACACATTAATTTGTTAAGTTTTCAATTTGAGCTTGAGAACATTGACTCGAAGATAAAATCATTCATGTTATATAATCCAATAGCTTCACAATAAAGCATTTGTATTACAGATTGAACCAGATTGAACCAGTGACCATTCAAATCTTCTCTTCAGGTTTGCTAGGTATTATTTCTCTATGTATGGTTTTATTTTACGAAAATTTGAAGTGTTTCAACGCGGTCTGGTACTTGAATATTAGTTGAACAAAAACAGATATGCATGCCTAAAAATTCAACTCATATTCCAACATTGTTTTTGTTGAACTGATGACACCGATTAAGCCACACCCTCGATCCAATGGACGACGTGGTCCATGAGTTTCTTAGAGTTACGAGTCGGTCTCTATAATTATATCTTTCAATAGGCTTATCATTTTCAACAAATAAGACATGTAGATCCATTATTATTTATAAACACATTCAAGGAAAGGTTCTTCGCTCTTCAAGACTAAATTTTTAAAGAGGCAGTTATGAACTGATAAGTAACAATATTACAAAGCCAAACTACATTATTATTTATAAGTATTAAAATTATCTGTCAAATAGAATCTGTAATTAGCTACGGCATAGTTATTTGGGGGTTCCTACTTATTCGACATAACAGACACACGTAGAACGACGTAAAATATTTGTTAGCAATAGAAAAGAAAAGAATTGAGGAAATGGAAACTAGGTAGTTAAGACTAAGAGATTTTAACAAAGTCTAGCAATGATTCGCTGATATTTCTTGAAGCAACGTACAAGTAAATACCTGAAAGTACAGTTTTTAAAGTTTGGGTTTAAATTCTTTAGTTGCATATTAATACCAAATTTTCAGGAGAGTAAACATAGTTATTCTATACTGAGTGTAGGATTAGCTTTGCATTATTTGGGAGTCATTTCATTTGTCAAGTGTAACTTTAGATTTTTCGGCAAGACAAACTAGAATCACCTATCAACATATAAAATATATATGTTCTGCTTCTCTTAGATGACAATCACCAAGACTATTTCTTGACTAGTTAAGTATTAAAGTAGAATGTTATTGAATTTTTTCAGATCACAGTTTTGTGATTTCTCATAGATGAATATTCAGTAGAATTGCTAGAGCTATTAGTTGAATTTCTCAAGTGAAAATTGATTGAAATGAGTGAAGGGTGGTTAACTGACTGACGGCTGTCAAGCAGCTAGTTACAAGGGAAGCTAAAACAGTTATAGTTGATTACACTACAGGTGTTTTATATTATGAGGGAGACTCTATACAAGCTCTCATGAGCTTGAGTTAAGTTATATTAGCTTTATGCTTTCTTGTACAAGAATGAAAGCTCTGCTATGTCAGTGTTTATATTACGAAAGAAATGAAGTATTGATACTTGAGAGTTAGAAATCAACACAAAGCCTATTAAAATCAACACAAAGCCAGCTCAGTTATCTTTCATCAAGAGATTCAAACAAACCATGCAATGCTAATATGAGAAACCTTGGACAGATTCTAATCATAAGGTTTATAATTTCACTTGATCCATTAGTTAGATTCTAACATTTTCCAATAAAATATTATAATCAGAAAGTCTTACTAGATTTATCTTAGATTTCAACTTTGGCAGACACTCTGTATCAATAATCATCATAGCATTTGCTACAAAATAGTAGTACTACTTGTTACAGAAGTGAAAATATCATGATACAAAGGCAAATAACAACATATATGTTCTCTAGTTAATCATAGAATTACTTGTTAAACAATACTAATAACATTGAAAATGCAAGAGAGTTAAGAAAACATACCAAGAAAAGTAGAAGGAAATGCTGAACCAAACCTAGCAAATCAGGATGAAATGGTAGAAGTCCTGCAACCCAACCAAGGTTTAAGAACCCCAAAATCTAAAATAAGAATAAGAATTGAATTCCCAAACAAAGGAATCTAATTCAATTTCAAAAAGTAAAACCTTTGTTGCTAGCAAATATGACAGAAGCAACATAAGTCACTCAAATAAACATGCTTTGGTCAGAATCACACTCTGCAACAGAATATGATGCTTAAATGGTTATAAAGTCCTTTTACAACACCCACTAGGCACTATATAGCATAGCATATCAGAATTCTATAAACTCAGCCATACCTTGAGTTGAGCATTACAACAAACACTTGATGAGCATCATTTTAGTACTATTCTAAAAGAGTATAGAATACAATTATCAAAAGAAAATATGGGTTACTTACCATTGCCATATTAAACTATATATATATTTCTGAGGAAGTTCCTTCAGAAAAGAATAGCACTGATGAACAAGCCAATGGAAATAATGGTGCCGCCAAGACATATGAACAAAATCCCTCTGAAGTTGCTGCTGCTACTGAGGATAGTGATCAAAAGATGTCAGAAAATGAAAACCCTAAAACAACAAATTAGAAAACCTAACATCAATTCAATATATTCAAACTCAAAATCAATCATCACAAAGAGCTCAACCATAAGATTCAAGTGAATCTCCAATGCTGAAATCAATGGCAGAGAATGAGAGAGATGAGAACAATGCAAAAAGTGATACATAAAACTTACTGTGTTTGAAGAGATGAACGCAAAGGATGTAGTTTCCATTGTTGTGTGTTTTTTGGTGTGAAGATGAGCGATTTGAAGAGATTCCTTTCGGTGTCAAGGGGTTTCTTTCGGTGTGAAGAAGAACGGGTTTGAGTTTGCACTATAAATCATTATAATTAATTCATTTCTATTATAATGAGAATCATTTTTTCATTCAACTTTGTGCAAATGCATTTTTGTGGAATATTTTTAATCTCGAAAAGAAATAAAAGTGAAGAATAATGAACTCATAAATTTTCAATATTTTAATTTCTTTTAGTTCTAAGATCTTTTTTAGTACTAGACATTGGATAATATATTTTAGGGTTCATAATTTGTAAATCTAAATTTTAATTTCATGTTATATTTGAATGTGTTAATGATGGATATAAAATCAAATCTATATAAATCTCAAAAAAAAATTGTTTAAATCTTATTTGGTGCTTGTTTTATTTAGGTGATTATAGGCTTGATCATTCTATCATTTCACGAAACTCCAAGAAACAAACTACTCTAGCTTTTCCATTTGTTGAATCTGAGTATGGTGCTCTTGTTGCTTCAACTAGAGACTTACAATGGATCTCATTTCTTCTTTATAATTTAGATCGAACCTCTGTGATACAATTTATATTATAAGTGATAGTCAAAATGCAGGAGTAGAAAGTGAATGGATGTTTTATGAACTTTTTAACTTTTTTACGGCGACAGGTGTTTTACCGTCGTGCCCATGAGAATTTTTAAAGGTTTTGGGTGCGACGGTTGTTTTACCGTCGTGAAATGAATTTTAGGACGGATAATTTTACCGTCGTGAAAGGTTTAAGGGTGCGACGGGTGCTTTACCGTCGTGATATGCCTTTTAGGACGGTTAATTTTACCGTCGTGACTAGTTGTTGGTGAAAAATCAATGTTAAAAGTGTTAAATGGGGGTCGACGGTTGTTTTACCGTCGTAATAATAATATTATGATGGTTAAATATACCGTCGCAAAATAAATATTAGGGACGGTTGGTGTCAACTGTCGTAAACACTGTCTCTATATGTCAATTACGACAGTTATCACATAACTGTCGCAATTTTTGTGTCGTTAAACACTAATTTTCTTGTAGTGGTATTCACTTATTTTGCAGATAAATGTTAAGTTAAAGACTTTGGAAGAAATGAAGAAAAAGGGTGCAAAAATATCAAAAGGGCCAAAGAATAAAAGAAGAAGAAAGTATAAGCCCATCACAAGGCGTGAGCACGTGGCCTACTAGCATAAGGACCTTAACGATCGTCAAGGTACGCTGCCGGTCGTCACAAGCATAATGGACCAAGTGACCAACGTCACTTGGACTTGACGAACGTCACAGACCCACCTTTTCCTTCTTTGACCACGTAGTCTACAAATCCAATGGAAGAGGAAAGTTCAAACACCAATCCAATGGCCATCCTATTTTTAAGCTCCACTCAGTCAACAAATGAAGGATGTAACCAACTATGTGGTCCTATTTTTTCTCACACGAACTCGAAGTGTTCCTATATTTTCTCAAACCTAAATATTGCACAAAGTACTATAAATAGAACCCTGGACACAACCAAGGGATGACCTTTGATATTTGGAGAATTCATTTTCCTTAAGCATTTTTTCTTTGAGCATTTTTTTTCCTGCAATTTTCTATTTCCTCTAGCATTTGTTTTCTGTGCGATTGTCTCTATTCCTGATCGAAGCAAAGCCTACCAGCTTGTGGAGGAGTGCTTCTAGTCAAGAGTTAGAAGTAATTGTACCCGTATCCATAATTATTATCCTCAGGTTTATTTTTATGAATTTTTATTGCTTTTAATTAATATAATCATGTTTATTTTGTTTTATCTTTGGAATTGTTCTGTGATTTGGTCTGATATTATGCTAGGCTAGAATTTGTATACCGGTATGTAAGGTCACATAACCAAGGGATTGAGTGACTCCGTTGGGTAATTTTTACTACAAAACCTTTTTCTGGTCTAAGTTACTATTTTTAGTCGATAAATTGTTTTGTTACGAAAGTAAAGAACGGATAGAGGTTAGGGTCAACAAAGCGGAATTTTGAGATCTTTCAACTGGACAGTAGTGATTAGGCATTGGCTTAAAATACAGCGGTAGCACTTTAAAGTTAATTAAGATTCTATTTCGTTTTCAAAAAGTGTTTTTAACTCCCGCGGGATGGAGGAAGCGTACGTTAGGACTTAACTGCATAGCCTAGATCAATAAAACGACAGTGTGAGACGAGGGCTTTTAAACTAAATAGATTTTACTGAAAGTTGTTTTGAAAATGCAAAGAC